TTGCCCATTTCCATATTGTTAATCGATGTTCCTTTATTGGAAGGAGGAAATCCATAATAATAGCAAACTGTGTCAGGAAGCAATCTTGGATCCCATCCAGAATTCCTCTGCCTCTCAGTTACCTAATTATTATATCCAACACATTACACACACATACATTTATTACTGCATCTTGATGTTTTGATTATATTCTCATAAATTTACTTATTTATGTATTTAGACCAAGGCGATCTGTATATTACTCAAATTACGAGTGATATACAGACCTCAGAGTAATATGGTTTAATTCTTCTGAGTCTGGGATTTGATCTCTGACAATTTCAGATGTCATATCACTTAAATAGCACCTCCACCTTCTGTTCTATCTGTTCTCTAAACTTAAAATGACCTATATCCTTTGATCTGTTAACCAATGAGTAATTTCTCTAAATTTAATATTCAATTATGTTTCAGTGAGTGATATTGCGTTGAGCTTTCCATTGCACAACAGTGTTAAGAGTCGTGCATATTGTTCTTTACAATTCTGAAGTTAGTATTATATACATGCAGAAACGTTTTCTGTGCTGTTATAATATTAATATTGAATGTTTAAAGAAATAGATTGAACTTATGCGTGAGGCGGCGTAGACAATCACCGTACACGAAATCAAACAAAGATATTAGGACCAAAACATGTAGAGTCCTTGCACCATTAAACTGAAGATTCAGATGCAAGGCCCAAGAGCTTAAGCTGTACAAACACTAAAGACAGCTAGACAATCAGAGGTAGTGGAGTGGACAGGCGACGTAGCACGAAGTAGGGCGGCCGGGTAGGGAGACAGAAGCAGCCAATGTGACCAGATATTGGGTCGTAGACAACAATCATGACAAGTTGAGCCAAGTTATGACGTCTTAAGTAGCAATAAAGGCGGCGCTGTCGAGTCATCTCGGTCGGCCAGGCTCCTCTGGAGGAAATTTGTGAGATAATTTTGGGTCATTATGGAGGCAAGGGGGAGGGGAGGTGTAGAGGGAAAAAGGGAAAGGGAAGAGGGTTAAGGCAAGGATGTCAAAGGGAGGGGGAGAGGGACTGCCATTTTGGCTGCCTATACACGAGAGGGCCGTGGTCATGGCAACATACCGGCTGCCCACTTTGCACGACCCAGGCAGCGTGGCAACATGAAGCACCAAGGCAACTAGACGTGAACAATATACCATTCACTGACAACAGACTTTAATCACTCACTGTGAAAATAATATTAGTTAAAAAATCTGCGAGTGACCTGAATGCCACGGTCTTCACCAGCATGCCACGGTCTTCACCAGCATGCCACGGTCTTCACCAGCATGCCACGGTCTTCACCAGCATGCTACGGTCCTCACCAGCATGCCACGGTCCTCACCAGCATGCCACGGTCTTCACCAGCATGCCACGGTCTTCACCAGCATGCCACGGTCCTCACCAGCATGCCACGGTCATCACCAGCATGCCGGGGTCTTCACCAGAATGACACGGTCTTCACCAGCATGCCATGGTCTTCACCAGCATGCCACGGTGTTCACAAGCATGCCAGGGTCTTCACCAGCATGCCACGGTTTTCACCAGCATGACACGGTCATCACCAGCATGCCACGGTCTTCACCAGCTTGACACGGTCTTCACCAGCATGCCACGGTCTTCACCAGCATGCCACGGTCCTCCCCAGCATGCCACGGACTTCCCCTGCATGTCACGGTCTTCACCAGCATGCCACGGTCTTCACCAGCATGCCACGGACTTCCCCAGCATGCCACGGTCTTCACCAGCATGCCACGGTCTTCACCAGCATGCCGGGGTCTTCACCAGCATGCTACGGTCTTCACCAGAATGCCACGGTGTTCACCAGCATGCCACGGTCTTCACCAGCATACCGCGGTCTTCACCAGTATGCCACAGTCTTCACTATCATGCCACGGTCCTCAAAAGCATGCCACGGTCCTCACCAGAATGCCACGGGCTTCACCAGCATGCTATGGTCTTCACCGGCATGCTACGATCTACACCAGCATGCCACAGTCTTCCACAGCATGCCACGGTCTTCACTATCATGTCACGGTCTTCACCAGCATACCTCGGTCTTCACCAGCATGCCACGGTCTTCACCAGCATTCTGCGGTCTTCCCCAACATGCCATGGTCTTCACCTGCATGCCACGGTTTTTAACAGCATGCCACCGTGGTATGATAGTGAAGACCGTGGCATGATAGTGAAGACCATTGCATGCTGGTGATGACTGTGGCATGCTGGTGTGTAAGGGGAGATATGATAACCACCTACAAAATTCTCATGGGAATTGACAGAGTGGACAAAGACAAACTCTTTAGCACGGGTGGGACACGAACAAGGGACACAGGTGGAAACTTAGTACCCAGATGAGCCACAGAGACGTTAGAATGAATTTTTTCAGCGTCAGAGTAGAGTTCACAAGCAAATGGAATGCATTTAGCAGTGATGTGGTGGAGGCTGACTCCATACACAGTTTCAAATGTAGATATGATAGAGCCCAATAGGCTCAGTAACCTGTACACCAGTTGATTGACAGTTGAGAGGCAGGACCAAAGAGCCAGAGCTCAACCCCCGCAAACACAACTAGGTGAGTACAACTAGGTGAGTACCAGCATGCCTCGATCTTCACCTGCATGACACGGTCTTCACTATCATGCCACGCTATTCACTATCATGCCACGGTCTTCACTATCATGCCACGGTCTTCAGCAGCATGCCACGGTCTTCTGCAGCATGCCACGGTCTTCACCAGCATGCCAGGGTCATCACCAGCATGCCTTGGTCTTCCGTATCATGCCTCGGTTGTCACTATCATGCCACAGTCTTCACCTGCATGCCACAGTCTTCACTATCATGCAACGGTCTTCACCAGCATACCACAGTCTTCAATATCATGCCATGATCTTCACTATCATGTCACGGTCTTCACTGTCATGCCACAGTCTTCACAACTTTGTCACGGTATTCAATATTATGCCACGGTCTTTATCAGCATGCCACGGTTTTCACAAGCATGTAACGGTGTTCACTATCATGCCACGGTCTTCACAAGCATGCCACGGTTCTCGCTATCATGCCACGGTTTTCACTATCATGCCATGGTCTTCAACTGCATGCCACAGTTTTCACTACACTGCCACGATCTTGTCCAGCATATCACGGTCTTTACTATCATGCCACGGTCTTTATTAGCATGCCACGGTCTTCACCGATATGTCAGGGTCTTCACCAGCATTCCACGGTTATCACCAGCATACCACGGTCTTCCTCAGCATGCTATGGTCTTCACCAGCATGCCATGGTCTTCACCAGCATGCCACGGTCTTCACCAGCATGCCCCGGTCTACCCTATCATGCCACGGTCTTCACAAGCATACCACGGTCATCACTAACATGCCACGGTCTTCCCAAGCATGCTCCGGTCTTCTTTATCATGCCACGGACTTCACTGCCATGCCACGGACTTCCTCAGCATGCTTTAGTCTCCACCAGCATGCCACGGTCTACCCTATCATGACACGGTCTTCACTGACATGCCACAACCTTTATGACCATGCCAAGATCTTCACTATCATGCCACAGTCTTCGCTAGCATGCCACGGTCTTCACTATCATGCCACAGTCTTCGCTAGCGTGCCACAGTCTTCACTCTCATGCCACGGTTTTCACTAGCATGCCACTGTCTTCACCAGCATGACACGGTCTTCACTAGCTTGCCACGGTCTTCGCTAGTGTGCCACAGTCTTCACTATCTTGCCATGGTCTTAACCAGCATGCCATGGACTTCACTATCATGCAACGGTCTTTACTATCATGGCACGGTCCTCACTAGTATGCCACTGTCTTCACTATCATACCACGGTCTTCGCAAGCATGTCAAGGTATTCCTTATCATGCAACGGTCTTCACCAGCATGCCACGGTCTTCACCAGAATGCCATGGTCTTCACCAGCATGCCACGGTCTTCACCAGCATGCCACGGTCTTCACTAGCATGCTACGGTTTTCACTATCATGCCACGGTCTTCACCAGCATACCACGGTCCTCACCAGCATGCCACGGTCTTCACAATCATAGCACAGTCTTCACCAGAATGCCATGGTCTTCACCAGAATGGCACGGTCTTCACCAGCATACCTCGGTTTTCACCAGCATACCACGGTCTTCACCAGTATGCCAGAGTCTTCAATATCAAGCCAGGGTCCTCACCGGAATGCCACGGTCTTCACCAACATGCCACGGTCTTCACCAGCATGCCACGGTCTTCACTATCATGCCACGGTCTTCCATAGCATGCCACGGTCTTCACCAGCATACCTCGGTCTTCACCAGCATGCCACGGTCTACACCAGCATACCACGATCTTCACCAGAATGCCACGGTCTTCACTATCATGCCACGGTTCTTCACCAGATTGCCACAGTCTTCACTATCATGCAACGGTCTTCACCAGCATACCACAGTCTTCAATATCTTGCCATGGTTTTCAATATCATGTCACGGTCTTCACTGTCATGCCACAGTCTTCACAAGCATGTCACGGTATTCGTTATTATGCCACGGTTTTCACCGGCAAGCCTCGGTCTTCCCTATCATGCCACGGTCTCTGCAAGCATGCCAAGATCTTCACCAGTGTGCCACAGTTTTCACAAGCAAGTTTCCCCGTTGAAGAGCAGAGGTGCAACAGGTACTCTGAGAGAGAACTCTATCAACATCAGAGGCCCGAGACTGTTCAACATGCTTCCGCTACACATAAGGGGCATAACTGGCCGACCCCTCACAGTATTCAAGAGAGAACTGGATAAGCACCTCCAAAGCATACCTGATCAACCAGGCTGTGACTCATACATCAGGCTACGAGCAGCCGCGTCCAACAGCCTGGTTGATCAGTCCGGCAACCAGGAGGCCTGGTCGACGACCGGGCCGCGGGGACGCTAAGCCCCGGAAGCACCTCAAGGTAACCTCAAGGTAAGGTAGCATGCCACGGTCATCACCAACTTGCCACGGTCTTCACCAGCATGCCAAGATCTTCTCCAGCGTGCCACTGTTTTCACAGGCATGTCACGGTCTTCACCAGCATGCCACGGTCTTCACCAGCATGCCACGGTCTTCACCAGCATGCCACGGTCTTCACCAGCGTGCCACTGTTTTCACAGGCATGCCACGGTCTTCACCAACGTGCCATGGTCTTCACCAGCATGCCACGGTCTTCACCAGCATGCCACGGTCTTCACCAGCATGCCACGGTCTTCACCAGCATGCCACGGTCTTCACCAGCATGCCACGGTCTTCACAAGCGTGCCACTGTTTTCACAGGCATGCCACGGTCTTCACCAACTTGCCATGGTCTTCACCAGCATGCCACGGTCTTCACCAGCATGCCACGGTCTTCACCAGCGTGCCACTGTTTTCACAGGCATGCCATGGTCTTCACCAGCATGCCACGGTCTTCACCAGCATGCCACGGTCTTCACCAGCATGCCACGGTCTTCACCAGCATGCCACGGTCTTCACCAGCATGCCACGGTCTTCACCAGCATGCCACGGTCTTCACAAGCGTGCCACTGTTTTCACAGGCATGCCACGGTCTTCACCAACTTGCCATGGTCTTCACCAGCATGCCACGGTCTTCACCAGCATGCCACGGTCTTCACCAGCGTGCCACTGTTTTCACAGGCATGCCACGGTCTTCACCAGCATGCCACGGTCTTCACCAACATGCCACGGTCTTCACCAGCATGCCACTGTTTTCACAGGCATGCCACGGTCTTCACCAGCATGCCACGGTCTTCACCAGCATGCCACGGTCTTCACCAGCGTGCCACTGTTTTCACAGGCATGCCACGGTCTTCACCAGCGTGCCACTGTTTTCACAGGCATGCCACGGTCTTCACCAGCGTGCCACTGTTTTCACAGGCATGCCACGGTCTTCACCAGCATGCCACGGTCTTCACCAACATGCCACGGTCTTCACCAGCATGCCACGGTCTTCACCAGCATGCCACGGTCTTCACCAGCATGCCACGGTCTTCACCAGCATGCCACGGTCTTCACCAGCATGCCACGGTTGTGAGATTTTTTTCTACGCCTACCTCCCTTATGAGGTGGACTACAAGTTTAAAGGCTGCTCACGGCAGTTAAGCATGAGTCCAATAGAAAAAGGAAAAGCGGGAGCAAACCGCCAGGCCTCCACCACCAGGGGTGAAAACCTGTCCACAATAGGCCGCTGGCTCCTCCTAGTTAAACAGGACGTTAAAACTAATAAAGGGTAACCGACGGGTTCTCACAATCAAATATTTATATTTGATGTGGCGCTATGAATTGGAATTCGAATTCCCAAGAACAGCCGTTATTTCATGATCACATCAACATTTAATATTATGCAGAAATATGGTGGAACAATATGGTTGAAGGGTTGACATCAAAGACTGTTTTCTATAACATAACAATTTATTAATAACAAGAGACTAACTACTACATTACCGAGTTTACGTTACGTTAATGTCCATCCAGTGGCACGATAACAAACAGCTAAATAGCAACCCTTGCTGTGAGGCTGCATACTGAACTAACCTGAACACAGGTGTGCCCACTGATGACGCAATATTGCAAATCAAAGAAAAATATCACAGACTAAGTTACACCACAGCGAATGGTTACGTTATTGTCCATCAAGTGGCATTTGCAACACAGCTATTCAACAGCCCCTCGAGAAGTGACAGCAGGCTCCATCTTGCTGACACTTCGGGCTGACAACATGAACTAACTGAACAAATGAAGGATATCCACTGAAGACACAAGCATGCAATCAATAGTGTCTCGGTTTCCCTGACAGCTACTATAATCACAAGCTTAGGGGTCCTCCCGCCCCCCAGGAGAGACCCACGTAACTAGGCGGGTAGTCCAACAGTGACCCCCCTATCACAACCCAGTGTGAACACTCTTTGCAACTCCCTACAAGAAGTTGCCCTGTTGTACACAGTAACAAAGACAGGCAAGGCAGGATTCTGGGACACAGCTCCACAGATCCCTAGATGACTCTACTCTCGTCACCAGACGACAACCAAAAGAAATTGCCTTAAGTGATTAATTACGTTAATTGACTGATCGCAGCAGTCAGCAACAAAGTACTACGGTAATCACAAACAATTGTCTCACACTAGACAACAAAATGATGATACTCTACGTTAATCATTAGCACTTGTCTCTCTCTTGTTAACAATAACTCAAACTTATATTACATCACACTTGACTCCTTGCAAGTATTCAGTGAGTAATTCTCAATTAAGGTCAAACGGACCACTAATTACATCCCCATTGAGTTACGTTAACTAAGCCTACCCTAACTTGGTAGCTCCTCAACAGTCTGTGTCAAAAATTTACTAGTGAGTGTTAATTACCCTAATTAATTCCCTAATTAATTCTGAGCAATAAATTAACTGTCACCAGGACCGATAATTAATCATCCATAAATACATCTCACTCCGCACTGCCTAAGCAGGTCTCATCAAACCCTGTGAATTCACGGGAAAGGAGTTAATTACCCCTAATTAACAAGATGTGCCACTAATCCACTGTCCTCAGACAGGATATGATTAATACAACGATTTATGCTAGCTCCATGACCTCGCTTTACCGAGTCATCGGAGCTCTCCAATGTTAATTACTCCACTAATTAACCTGAGCCACTAATTGCTATACCCCTGAAAGGTAATTAGTCTCGAGCAAATTACGTTAACACAAATACTGACAGCCTCTGACAGATCCTCTCCCACTACGTGAATTCATGATGAGAAGGCTAATTACATAATTAGCTAGAGTGGTCAATTAGTTGTCACACGGACAATTAATTTCTCCCGAGACGTATCTCACTCAAGCTCAACGCTGTTCTCTCTCATAACAGCCCTCAATCACTCCACAATAAGTGTACACCCCTTATCCAGTTAATTCCCCAATTATTAACTCACTGAATGCTTAAGTCCTCAACACAACTTAAAGAAACAAGGTAACCCCAATGTTACATAGGTCACACTACAATGGCATGCAACAATACAAATGCACTGCCCACATATGGTTGCGGCTACTGCAACTCGCTAATTACTGTGCCCACACAATAATGACACACGGTTGTGCAACACACAAGAGTATACCAATATTACTGCCCCCCTCTTTTTCTTGCAACCGTTGCAAAGGGTTCATTGGCATGCTGTGAACACACACTTACCTCAGCAAGGCAATTAACCCATCAATTGCCTGCTCTCATTAAGCACTGTGAATTCCCCTGAATAATCCTAGAGGTCCCTTAAACCCTCAACACCGCTCCGAGGGCAATAATATCGTATAAACTGATAACAACACTGCACAAACCTGCAACATAATGATGCCGTCAGCATACCCCACATGCTAATGACATCATTAGGCAATCAGTCAGCAATCACATCTACTGACTTACCACACAACACAGTACATAAACATGCAAATGAACACATAGAAATGGCATTCACATAATCAATGAAAATTATATCATCAGGTAAATGTAACTCTAACTACACAGACCTCAGGGTACCCACTGACATCCCCACTGACATCCTTGAGGTGCTGCAGCGTCCCCGCGGCCCGGTCGTCGACCAGGCCTCCTGGCCGGACTGCAACTACCTCTCGCTGCCTGACGTACGAGTCACAGCCTGGTTGATTATAGGTGCTTATCCAGTTCTCTCTTGAACACTGTGAGGGGTCGGCCAGTTATGCCCCTTACCTCTAATGATTATAATTTATATACGGTACTCTATGGCATTAATCCAGTCTGAACGATTATATAGAATCGACAGGCTGGATCACTTATATGGTAAATCTCTACACTGACCGGTTACATACTCTAGTCAGTCTACTACACACATATATACATCATGATACTACAGTGTGGTCCCGTGTACAACATCTATCTCCAGGTACCGCCCTACCAATCACCTGGACGTGCTACAAACAACTGTCTCTCAGATGCTTCTCTAGCCTGGCGAGGCTCTGAGACAGCTCTTACCGGGAATTTCCACCGGTACTCATCACACTGTACACAATGATAATAGTACTCACGTCTTTCTCATTTCCCAGGTCACTACCACACTAGCTGTCAAAACTTAGCTTGCTCCTCATGCGTCGACAAGATGTGGCCCTAGGCTGTCCCGGGAAAGTAGCCAAGGCATGTGGCCACCGCGTGGCTCACAGCGCCCCTCCCGAGCTGAGAGGGGGGGGGGTGGTGGTAGCCGGCACGCTGGCCGAGCCGGCCGAGCAGCTGGGTGGCCTGGGGGTGGCCACGGGTAGCGCATGACGTCATAGCACCCCTCCCGGCTGAGCTTGTGCACGGGTTGGGGTGGGGTTTGGCCGCGCAGGTGGCCTGGGGTGGCCCCCCTGGGCAGCTGGCCAAGGTGGGCGGCGCGGGTGGCCGCGGGCAGCCTGGGTGCCTCGGGCTGGCAGGCTGCCGCCCACAGGAGTACACACGCGGATGGGGATTCACTAACAACCCCATCAAACCAGAGCCTGCCTTGCTCTACACTGGGGTGACAATGGCCGGCGGCGTCCCCACACTGACGCAGCCTGGCGGAATTCAAAGTCCAATATGGGCTTGTAATATCACTCACTTACACTGCCCAACACCAATTGTCCATTGCCACACTAGACAGGTTATTCAAACCACCTGTTACACCATGAGGCTCTGCCAGCTGCCTCATGGGTGAGCACTGTCAACTGTCTCTTTAGCTTTTTACTGTTCCATCCGTAAATCCTTGGCCCCAATTCACGCCAATTGGGCCTAGACACAACCCGGGATGGTGGGAGTGCCATCCCTGCTAGACAACACGGTAATGTCCGCGATTAACGGGGGTGGAGGGGGAAAACTCCCCCTCTCCACCCAGACACGTCCTAGTCCACCTGCTACCCTGCTCAGACTGCCTATTTCCCGGGCTAGGGAAACTCAAAATGCCCATACCTCCTCCCTACTTTGTCTTGACCAATCAGCCTGGAGCCGGCACCGCTCCCTCGTGCCGCTCCCAATCACAGCCCTTCGCGCCAAAACTCGGCTTGGAGCACACTTGCCTACTCCAATCACAGGCTCACTCACCCTCGAGCGTCCCGTGACGTCACAAGGAGGGGGAGGCCTAAAGACAATGGCGCGATGTCTCACATGTTGGGGGGGCAACGTTCGCCCCACTCTCCCCCCCACCTCTAACGGTTTTAGTCAAGTACCTCACATACCACTTCACTCTCACCTCGATCATCCTGTTTCACAGAAACAGGAAAATCTCTGTAATTCTCTCTACAGAGCAATCACAGACTTCTGACTACTCACAAATGATAGTCCATAACATAAGCTTTCATTCAACACCCCACAAGTATATGTTAGTTTGAAAGCTTCAGTTTCTAGAGCGACTAGCCTAATCTAGAAACTAGTAAAATTAGCTGAGGGAATCTAGATTCCCTCACAACGGTCTTCACCAGCGTGCCATTGTTTTCACAGGCATGCCACGGTCTTCACCAGCATGCCACGGTCTTCAGCAACATGCCACGGTCTTCACCAACATGCCACGGTCTTTACCAGCATGTCACGGTCTTCACCAGCATGCCACGGTCTTCACCAGCAAGCCACAGTCTTCACCAGCATGCCACGGTCTTCACCAGCATGCCACGGTCTTCATCAACATGCTACGGACTTCACAAGCATGCCACGGTCTTCACCAACATGCCACGGTCTTTATCAGCATGCCACGGTCATCATTAGGTTTATGTCAGGCCAATCCTGGAGTATGCAGCCCCAACATGGAGTCCATATCTAGTTTTCACTACAATGCCACGATCTTGACCAACATACAACGGTCTTCACTATCATGTCACGGTCTTTATTAGTATGCCACGGTCTTCACCGATATGTCAGGGTTTTCACCAGCATTCCACGGTCTTCTCCATCATACCACGGACTTCCTCAGCATGCTATGGTCTTCACCAGCATGCCACGGTCTTCACCAGCATGCCACGGTCTTCGCCAGCATGCCACGGTCTTCCCAAGCATGCTACGGTCTTCTT